GGGGGTGGGGGGGTGGTGGGGGGGGGGGTAGGTTGGAGGGGGGGGAGAAGGAATGGGGGTGGGGGGAAGGAGAGGGAGAGGGAAAGTACATGTGAAAATATTAATAATTTAATAAAAAAAAGAAAAATAAATAAAATCTTAAAAGCAAAGAACAAAAAAAAGGAACCTGCAAGATGGCTACAGAGGTAAAGATGCTGCCTCGAATCAAGCCTGATGTCCTAAGCTTGGTCCCCTGATGCACATAAAGGTAGGACAGACCTGATTCCACAAAGGTGTCCTCTGACCTCACACACATGTCATTCATATACACCACACAAGCACACATGCTTAAAAAATTAAAAGCGGTGAAACTAACATTGAATTTCTGCTGTTGTCTTTTTTAATCTAAAGTTTCTCCTTGATTATAAGTTTTTTTCTTTTCTTTTCTTTCATTTCTGGCTGCTTAGACATACAATTTTTTCATCTTTAAAAAAAATGCAGTGCCAATAAGCTTTCTTCACAACCCAAAGCTGATGTTAAAATAAATAATTTTAGGTGTCAATGGTATTTAGTGAAATACAACTTTCAACTCAGAATTAAATTTAAAAGCCTTGGCATGACGGTCTATAGAAGTAATTTAGTGACTTTAAGAATATTAAAATTAAAATGTTGGGAACTAGAGAGATGGCTCAGTGGTTAAGAGCTCTTACTGCTCTTACAGAGGGCCTGGGTTCAGTTCCCAGGGCTCATGTGGTGGCTCACAACCACCTATAGCTCCAGTTCTAAGGATGAGATACCCTCTTCTGACCTTTGTAGACACAAGACACACATGTGGTACACATAGGCAAAACACTTATACACATAAATAAAAAAACAATAGGTTTCTAACAATAAATAATTTTTAAAAATTAAAATGTTTATACACTATCAAGGCAAGCTATTATTTGAAAACTTTAATTCTTGGGAAAAGATGTTGGAGTGTGCACGCAGCCTTCTGTAGGAGCAGGAAAGATGTGGGATATTGTGGGATATTTCATAAAGTTCTCCTGAGATTCTGAGTGGGACTTCACACTTGCACTGCTTAGGACAGTTCTTTAGATGCAACAATCCAGATCTCAGCAGGCAGGATTCCATCTCAGGAACCCTCACAAAAGCCGTTGCTCAGGTATCTTGAAGGAATGCAAGAATAACTCATTTTCTCAAAAAAAAAAAAAAATTACTGGATAGATAGCCAACAGAACTACTTGTGCCTTTTATGATCAGTTTCTCAAATAAGGAAGTTTTACACTAAAGGAAACCAGAATAAAAATTCTGGGTAACACTGCTAGAAAAAAGAGGGGATGAGGGGATGGCCCAGTTGGTAAAATGCTTGCCTTCCAAACACAAAGATCTGCCTTTGATCCCGAGATCCTACCTGAACTGTTAGGCATGGTGGCCATACTTGGAGTCCCAGCATTCAGAAGCAGAGACAAGACAATTGCTAGGGCTTGCTGGCCAGCTGGGCTAGTCTGGTGGACACTAGCCCAATTAGAGCTCCGGTCTCACAGGAGCTAGAGGGTGCTACTATGGATAACACCTGACTTGGGTGAGCGGAAGCTGAAATTGTAATATATTGTATAGGGGGAAAAACTATTTTCAGTAAAAAATAAAATCCAGCTGGAAAAAATAGTGTAATAACAGTTTTGTGTGTCAATTTTTGCTCATATTTTTATTATTTCCTTCATTCAGGTCATCAGAACAATATTTTTGGTTGTGAGCCTAGCTGACAACCTAGGCTGAGCCTTCTTTCCAGCCCTGGGTCATTGGAACTACAACTACCAGGTAAAAGATATCCTTCTACAATATTTAGAGCAATTGTATTCCAAAAAAAGAATTACTTACGGCTTTTTTCCACAAATACTTTGCTGACAGGCTGGCTAATTCCCGTGGGTGCTGTGAACCTGGAGTGCTGCTCTAGGGTACGCTGCTCATCTGTAATTATGTCTTCATCTTCTACCCCTAACTCATCAGCATACTGTAGCTCTGCTGGCTGCGTTTTCCTGAAATTGGGAAAAGTCTTTGAGAAAAATAGGTCATTCCTGAATTTTTAAAGACCCACATAAGAAGTTACCCATGGACATAATGGAAAGAGTCCTTCCTGAACTTGAAGTATAAAAATATGCTGTTTATTCAGATTTGTTATGGACTAGTACATTCCTCAAAGTGCCCACATTTCTGTGTACCCCAGTTTTCTCAAAATGGTCAAGGACTGGGCTAGATTGCTCCTGACTTAATATCATTAAACTCTAAATGTAACTGATTGCTGTTTGTAGAGTAATTTTTAAGTACAAACATCAATGTTATATAACTTCCAGGGTATTTTTAAAAGTATGCTCTTGTATTTTTATATAAGACTTAACTTCCTATATTAGAGCACAATAGTTATGCTTATCACAAAATAGTTCAAATTCCATTAACATGAAAAACAAATCACAGTAGCTTATCTTTAATGGTTAACCCTTATCTCATCTTTTGAACTTATTTGAAAATATTTTTTTTAGAGATGACTCTTTAGCTATTTCCATACACTATTCTTTTCTTTTTTTAATGTTCTATTCTTTTCAAATCTCTCATATATTGGTTTAACTTATAATTCTATAGTATCACTTATTTCAACACATACAAATACGGTGTTTTCCAAGACCCAGTGAGGAGCTACTCTTTAGGATCTAAAACAGCAGCACTGGCTCCTAGGGACAGCTAGAAGGGTGAGTAAACTATTACTTGGCCTTCCTTCGTGGTTTTGGAATGACTGCCTCTGCCGGTGGCTCCACATTGACACCATTTTCATTGCGTAGGAAAGATGGACTAGATGATGGCTTTTCAGCGAAGGAAGTCTCCAACTCTGAAAATGAGATGCGTCACATGATTACAAGGTGAAAATAAAACAACACGCAGTCAGTCTCCTGACTTTTGTGAGACTGGAGAACTTTAAGACTTTCAGTTGGACCAATTCTTTTCTGCTACAGGCAGAGCTGGTGTTGGAAATGGGGTCTCACTGTGTAGCCCCAGCTGCCCTGGAACTTGCTGTGCAGACCAGGTTAATCGTAAACTCAGAGAGCTGCTGTTAAAGGCATGTCTCAACACTCAGCTAGGATTAGATTTCTTAAATTTTTTCCATATTGGTTGACATTAAAACTTGGAATTACAGTGTAGAAGTATAAAATTTTCTAAATAAAAAAATTGGGCGGGTGTAGTGGTGCATGCTTTTAATCCTAGCACTCAGAAAGCAGAGACAGGCCAATCTCTGTGAATTTGAGACCAGCCTGGACTACATAGGAAACTGCAGGCTGCCCAGGTTTAGACAGTGAGACCCTGTCTGAAACAAAACACTAATTCCCACATTTGGAGTATCCCCAGATTTGGCAACTTGCTGTCAGGACTCAAGGGACTCAGAAGTTATTACACTCACAAAGTGTAATTACAGCAAAGAAGAAAAGCAAAATCAGCAAAAGGAAAAAGCAAACAGACCAGATTCAGGTGACACACGCACAGTACCCCACAGCCCTGAGTCAGTGGAGTCACACTCCAGGCTCAGTGCTCCGAAGTCCTCCATCAGTGGAGTCACACTCCAGCCTCAGTGCCTAACAGTCCTCCATCAGTGAGTCACACTCCAGTCACAGTGCCCAACAGTCCTCCATCTGTGGAGTCACACTCCAGCCTCAGTGCCCCACAGTCCTCCATCAGTGGAGTCACACTCCAGTCACAGTGCCCAACAGTCCTCCATCAGTGAGTCATACTCCAGGCTCAGTGCATCACACTCCTCCATCAGTGGAGTCACACTCCAGGCTCAGTGCCCAACAGTCCTCCGTCAGTGGAGTCACACTCCAGGCTCAGTGCCCAACAGTCCTCCATCAGTGGAGTCATGCTCCAGGCTCAGTGCCCAACAGTCCTCCATCAGTGGAGTCAAATAGGGTTCCTGTTATTCCAGCAACAACTTATGACAACATAGCAGATGCAGTCTGCAGGGAAGCTCCTTAGAGACCTAACACCCAGGTTTTTACTGACAGCTAATCACACAAACTTACACTTACCAAAATTCCAGATTATAGCCTAGGCTAGAAAGACAACACAGGCCAAACAGCATATCATGGTCATTCTGGGTGAAACAAAACAAAAAACAGAACTTTAAAGCCCTAAAAAAGCTAGTGCTATGGTTGCAGCTCAGCTGGTAGCATGCTGGCCTGGCATACACAAGGCCCTGGGTCAGTCAGTACCCAGCACTGTAAAGACCAGTGTGGTGACTATAATCCCAGCAGCTGGGAGGTGTTGAGAAAGGAGGATCAGAAGTTCGGAACCATTCTCAGCTACACATTGAGATGAGCCTGTCTTACATAAGACCCTGCCTGAGAAGAACAGAAAAAAATACTAAAAACACTGGACCTGAAGGCTGGGTGCATTTTAGAATGGCATTAACGGGTTCCCTGTGGCCCAAACTTCTTTTGGTCTAATTTTTCTTGGTGGCTTGTTTTGCGGTTTGGGCTTTTTGCTTATTACATGCTTCTTTTGTTTTGTGTTTTGTCTTTTTGAGACAGGGTCTTGCTGCATAGCCCACACTGACCTGGAACTCATGATCCTTCTTCCTCAGCCTCAAAGGTGGTGACACTCCAGGCATGCGCCACCACACCCAGCTGGGTCCAGAATTTTCTTAAAATGGCTAAGCCATATTTATACAGATACTCTTCACAAACATTTTAAAATTGGTATCCTGATCAAATGATTAAAGCATTGTTTTCATCAAACTACACTAATGCTGGTGATTAAGTAAGTTCAGTCAAAATTTAGGATAAAAAATAATTAAATGAGATAGATATGCATGCAGAAAACCCATGAGAAAAGTTAGGCCTATGACCTAACTGAGAGCCCCCTGGGCTTCCTTCTGCCCCCTTCTGCTCTTTCAGTGCCCCGGGCGCTGTGGCACACACTTCATTGATTCCCAAAACTGCGATGTATTCTTGTCACTTTTAGTTCCTGCCACTCTGCTCCTGGACTTCTCTATATAGTAAGTGCCTGCTGTTCTCCAGGAGCACACTAACTAATTATTAGTCAGGGAACATACTTTTATTAAATTCTCAAGGGCTAACTTGTGTTAACAGTGCATACTTCACTTTGTATTATCTTAATAAAGTCAGTCCACTGTCCTCATCTAATTACTATAAAAGTAGTAAGTATTCGTCAATGGAAAAAAGTGAAAATCGTGGTTTCTTTGCTTTGTTTTGTTTTGTTTTTTAACTCTACTCACTGTTAGCACTGCTCACTTTTCCACTGTTTTCACTGTGTATATGTGTGCTCAGATCTGTGTTCAGGATTGAATTATGCTCCAGAAATGCACATGCAAGTCATAACTCCCAGAATCTGCTACCATAACTTCATTTGTAAACAGGTTTGGCAGATATAAACAAGTCAAAATGAAGTCATGCTGGGTGAGGATGGACCCTAAATCCAATGACTGCTATTTTACATGAAGAGAATCAGGAAAACATGGAAAATTAAATAATGTCAGAGGGGGCAGAGATGGGAATTATGCATAGACAGCCAAGAAATGCTGAAGATTGTCAGCAATCACTGGAATGTAGTGGACTTTTCTATGAGCCACCAGCTTAAAAATAACATTATTACTAATTACATAATTATTACTAATTATGAAAGCTTGGCCTTTAACTCAGGCTTGTCCCACTAGCTCTTATAACTCAAATTAATCTGTTTATGTTAATCTACATTCTGCCATGTGGCTCAGTTACCTCCTCAGTAATGTATGTCCAACTTCTTCAGTGTCTCACTGGAGTCTGCCTCTCTTCTTCCTCTCTCTCCCCAGAAATCCCATCTATCCTCTCTTGCCTAGCTATTGGCCATCCAGCTCTTTATTAAACCCATCAGTATGCACCTTAGCAGAGACACATTTTCTCAGTGTTCAAAAAGATTATCCCACAACACCAGATGCTCCAAGGGGCAAGGAAGGCACAAGCCCTAAAGCCCCTGGAAGTAGCACAGCCTCATGGATGCCCTGATTTTAAACTTATATCCTTTAGAACTATGAAGAAATAAATGTTGGTTGTTTGAAGTCTCCCAGTTTATGGTAACTTGTTACAGCAACCACAGGAAATTAATAAAGTATATTTCTGTGAACATGAGACCCCCTCTCAATACACACTGTTTTATAACCTCTTTTGTTGACTCAACAATACTTTATAGATGGTTTCCCAGGACACTAGTTCACTTGAACAGTCCTTGTAACCTGCACTTGCTTTACACTTATTTAGATAAATTGTGATTATTTAACCAAAACCACAGGGTTCTAGTGGTTATCCATCTCCACTATAAAGCTACATTCTTTGTTGTATCAATTATTACAGCTTCTTCTACTCTTAGACATCTGGACAGTCTGAGGCAATTTATACTTCTATTACTGTATTACTGTACCTGTTTTCATTAACTCTAGATTTTATTTTATTTTTGTATTGTAGTCTTTCTTGAGACAAGATCTTGCTTTGTAGCTTAGGTTAGCCTGGAACTATATGTAGCTGGCCTAAACCTTGAATTCCTCTTGCTTCATTCAGCCTTTTTGAGTGCTGGGATAACAGGTATGTACTATGCTCAGATCAACACTACATTTTTCTAATTTAAAAGCAAATAACATGGCCAACTTGATACACATGCATATACATACACACAGACACACACACACACACACACACACACACACACACACACACACACACACAGAGTATTTTTGTTTACATTGAGAGCACTGCCTGAGTCACAGATACTCAATAAATGGTGAGTGTTGTGTTGCAGAATATTTGTACACTGTGTGAAGATGTGTTGCTATAACTGGTATATTACTGGACACGTAATGGGAGAGAGGTTAAAGCCATGTGGTAGAATGTAGATTAATAAAATTATTGGTTAAGTTACAAGAGCTAGTGGAACAAGCCTAAACTAATGACAAAACTTTCATAATTAATAAGACTCAGTGTAGTGTTGTTATTTGTAGACTATCAGTCCCAATGAGAAAGCATACTATACTGTTGTTTAATTAGATTACTGGTTTGTTTGTTTGTTTGTTTGTTTGAGACAGGATTTCTCTGCGTAGCTTATTGTTAATACAGAATTCATCCTACTAATCTGAAATGTCCACTTCATCCACTAAATTCTTGCATGCACTGAGATCCGAGCTTTCTGTGCTGGGCCTGAATTTTTTTACTTCTTCTCTCTTATACTGCATGTATATGACCAGAGACCTGAAAAAAAGCCTGAAGTCATTAGAGCTCAAGTGGTGGGCATTTTCAGGAAGAAAACAAGAACCCACCTTTGGGAACAAGGTTCAAAATCACAACTTCTGTCACAATCTAACCTTGGTTTCCTCACATACCAGGAGGTGGCCTTATCTTCTTCTGTCTCCTCTGAACAGGAGCCTCTGGATACTCCTTGAGATCTGCAGCTGGTGGCTCACTGCTCTCCGACCACTTACTAACAATGGGCTCGGCAGAGCCTTCCAAAGAAGCAGTAGCTACAGAAAGACAGGAGAAAATGAGTCAGCTTGAGCAGAGACCTCTGAGTTAGAAAGATGAGACAAGGATACCTTCCACATGCCTTGATGACTTTATGCTTTCCCCTCTCTAACTTTGGGCTTTGTATTGAAAAGAAATAAATATGGAATTAGGAAAGCAGAGGAGGAGGAGGGGGCCAAAAAGAAAACCCACAGAATGAAGAGGAGGTGTAATTGCTTCAGAACATTCAAAGCATTCAGAAAGGTACAAACAAATTAAAACTGACATGACAGACAATGCTCTTGCCCCCTGCCCTAAGAACTCTACCGGCTCTATAGTTTCTTCCTTCACCGGTAAGTCAGCACGTGATGAAGTCATCAGGAATTATTAACTGGAAGTAACAGGTCATTTAGAAGTTCCAACTTTTCCCCTAATGAAACCTTTTAACAGAATTTCAACATAATCTGGGAAATTTGAATCATTCTTGACTACCTTCTCTGGCCTACAGCTACTCCTTACAAAATAAAAATAAAAACAAAATAAAAATAAAATTACACTGAGAACAAGGGCCTCCCTGGCATTTAGAGGAAGGCCAGCTGTGGCCTGAGATGTAGGTGAGTAGAAGATCATTTTCACAACATGTACGGGCAACTGTGTTCTCCTAACACTGGGAAAAATGGCTGGGAAACACAAATGCAAGATAAGCCTCTTTTCAATCACTAAACTGATGAATATTAAAGATGAATATTAATTGCTGAATATTAAATATTGTCCAGTTTTGTTAGAAATTTAGAGAAAGTGACACTCCAATGCCTTATGGTGGCAGAAAATAACAGAAACTTTCTGGAAGACAAGTTAGCAGAACCCATTGTATCAACAGTGCTTGCTTCCACTGCTAGCAATCTATGCTTTAGAAATACCTTTGCCCCGCTAGCCACTATTGTACACAGAACTGCAATACTGTTTGGAAATAAATCGCAAAGTAAATTAAATGATAGGAAGTTAAAGATTAAATAATATAATACTACAAAGTCACTGCTTAGAGATATCTAGAATGCTCTATAAAGAGCCAAGACAAGAAAACAATCATTACTACACAGGCTTTTTAGGCTTGTGAGCGGGGTTAAGTCAAGAATGAAGTTAAGAGATCAACTAAAGGTGAGTTTGAGGTTTCAAGCCCATTAGGGAAATAATGAAAACCAAAAACTGATTACTGAAGGTGATGAATTCTGAATGTGTTGAGTCTTAGTTACTAATAGACCACCCAGGATTACCAGTTAGACAACTCCAACAAAACAGGTTCATGGTCCTGCTGTTATTAGAGCTTGAAGACACAGATCATGTGACCCGCCTCAGGGTCTTGCTCTTAGATAGGAGAGCTGAGAATCCCTGGTCTCTAAATCCATTATTGTTTTCAAAAGTCTAGAACCAAGTAGGGCTTAAAAACACATTATCTAGGGACCAAAGACCTGAAGAGCGCAACAATATTGTAAACATTAAACATGGGCGGCACAATAATTCATTCTATGAACATACCTGGTCACTCTCCAGGCTGCCCATGGCCTTGCCTTCCCATCCTCAACATATTAGTGATTTGGTGCCCGGGAACCTTCACTCTGTAATTTGTGATGCTGACCATGTTTAAGGTCCTGGGAAAGTGTGTGATCTCCCACAATACACAACATCTTACCTAGTGTGCTTTTCGTTCTGGATTTCTTTTTCTTAGGATGACTAAGTGGAATATCATCTATAAAACAGAAAGAACAGCAAGAATGGCAGAGAAACAACTGGAACAGAACTTCCTGTAAGGAAACCTTTCCCTCCCTTCTCTGGAGCCAACCAACATTTACATATGAGAAGAAAGGTAAGAAAATGACAAGGCCAATTGGCACCACCCACAGCACGGTGCCAGTAGTATAGTGTTGCTCAGTGATGTTTACAACTGTGACTTAGAAAGTGGGCTCAAGAAATGTCCACCCAGTCCCACACAGTCTCCAGCCCCTTACACTGAGGTATGGACAAGACTGGTTCTGGCCAAGAGGCTGAATAGAAGTGATGTGTAGAAGTCTGTAGCACTGAAGCTGCCCAATCTTGTCGACCTCAGAGGCTAAGCAGATTGAAGCCTGGTCAGTACTTGGATGGGAGCGATATATGTCACTTGTGAGTCAAAATACTGAAAAGGCCAGCTGCATGTCAGAGGAAGAAGCTTTATATTAGGATGTCAGAACCACATGACAAAAAACGACCTAGATCTCTCTGCATCATTAACCAAGACAATTGCTCTGGACTGTTGCCCAATGACTTTGCAATTAACCCAGTAGGGTTTTTTTATTCAAAGAAAAATTAGTATTTTTTTTTGTGTGTGTGTGTGTGTGTGTGTGTGTCTGTGTGTGGATGTGCACACCACAGCTTATATGTAGAGGTCAGAGGACAACTTGTAGGAGTTGGTTCTTTCCTTCCACCATGTGGGCTCTGGGGATCAAACTTGTGTTATCAGGCTTGGCAGCAGGGGCCTTCACTTACTAATCCATCCTTCTGATCCAACTTTGTATTTTCTCTAACAATCTTGCAAGATATTAAGTGAATAAAAATTTTGGAGTTGTTAGTGTAGCATATCCTTGCCTACCCTGACTAAAAGAGAAAAGGAAAAGCACAGTTTAACACAGAACTATAAACAAGTCAAAGGATATACTCTTGGGTCTGCAGAGGGCAATCTAGTACTGTATATCAAACATAATTTTAAAATTGCAGTCACAGGAGATTGTGGTAGTAAATGGGTATCTAATTTTGCAGAGTATATATTCAGGTTCAATTCTAAGTAGAACAAACTAAGGAATCAAATAAAATCATCATCATCATTATTATCATTATTTTGAGGCAAGTTTTGACCATTACCCAGGCTGGCCTTCAATTCACAAGCTCAAGCAGCTCTCCCCTCTCAGTTTGTAAGTGGCTGGCACCATACGTGTATGACACTGTCCCCAGATTCCACTTTTTAATCCCTCTGAGTCAGGATCTCACTATGTAGTCCATGCAGGCCAACTCACAGTTTCCCTGCCTTGGCCGTCCCAGAATCAGGATTTGGTATGTGTTACCATACTCATCTTCATGCTTGCTTTAAAACACCAAATACTATATTTAGGGTTTTTTTACAGGAATAGTAAACTAACTCACCTTGAATAGCACTTCATATGACCCCAACCAAATGTAATCAGCAGGACAAAAAAAGAAAAAAGAAACTTAATTATTATCTGACTGAAACTTGACTTCCATCACTACAACCTTAAAAATAAAACTTGCTTTCACATACTGTCAGCTGACTTATAAACTAGCTTATTATTTGTAAGTAGTATATTGTTTAACAGCACTGCCAAAAAAACCTTTTGAAAGCACACACACATATTCCCTACTAAGTGTTAATTAATGGACTAAGCAGATTAAGAACTCTCCTGTGTTGGTTATAATCAGCTTAAACTCTGACAGAACCCACAAACACAAGGGCATCAGGAGAATTCTGGTAAATAGGGCATGAGAACATTTGGAACAGATGCCATCATTTTGCCTCTAAATTTTTAGGAAGACTTTTCCTAAAAGTTTGAAGGTTTTTGTTTGTTTTTCCTAAAGCATTGTAGTTTTTTAACCATACTATTCATTTTTTCTACTTATTTTTACATTTTTAAAGTTCAATAATAAAATGACTAGATTATTTTTTACCTTGGCACAGGTGGAAGGGCTCGTGGAGGACGCTATAGGAGTAAGGAAAAGGCAAAACATTCATAAATAAAAGCTGGTTCATCTTAACCTTTATTTACCTCAAGTGCCACAAAGCCACTCATTAAAAAATCTAGTGTTCAGATGTGAGACAAATAAAACAGTTCAGTAATTCTCTTCAATTTTTTTGAGAACTGTTTTACGTGAAACTTGGGAGGTGGTGATGTAAGCTGGACTGCCGAGTTTAGACACACTCTGCCATTTCTATATACCACATGAAGTCCTTTTCTTCTTACATTTCAACCAACCAGCCTGGCCTACTGTGAGCATTGAGAACAAGATCAAAACAGAGCTCACCACCCTTTACAGAACTTCTCTTAGTGGCTAAGTACTGGAAGATAATGTTACATAGGCATACAGAACTAGAACATACGGTGTGTGTGTGTGTGTGTGTGTGTGTGTGTGTGTAAGGTGTGTAAGGCTTGGAAGATAATGTTACATAGGCATACAGAACTAGAACATACGGGGTGTGTGTGTGTGTGTGTGTGTGTGTGTGTGTGTGTGTGTATGTGTATGTGTGTGTTGCTCACGTTCACGAAAGCCTAGGCTGGGAACGCTCCAGGTACAGAGCACCACCAAGGCCGAAGCACAGTTACCATGGACAGCAACGCGGAAGCTGGCTTAATTAGGGCCTTGAAGACCAAGGGAAGGAATATGGGTTTTATTTTATTAAGTAGGGAGCCAACTAAGGTTTTATGCCACAAAGTGACATGTTTTTTTTTAAGTCATCTTAAATAGAAATAGAAAACATATTCTAGACAGAATGTATTGGGGGTAGGGTATAATTTGCACTGCTCTACCTGAGTAAGAGAAACCAGGGAGCATTAGTGCCAGGAAGACAGACAGCCTCTTCTGACTTCTTTGAGCACCAGGCATACAAGGGGTGCACAGAGATAGACGCGGGCGAAACACTCAGAGAACAAATAAATCTTTAATAAAATTGAACACTAACAGAAGTGCCTAGAAGTCAATTTAATATCTCAAGTATCTCATGCTGCTTACAGAGTGCGCTGATTCCAAAGGCTTAAATTTTAGATAATCTTGTTTGTCCTATTGTTGCATTCATCCGAACAGATTTATGAAAATGCTACAAGATTAGGGCACTGAAGGATGCCCCGATGCTATCCAGCAGTCAAAATGACAACTGGGAAAGAACGATGGTCCCACGAAAGCGCTACTATTCTCGAGACGCTATCAAATGGGACCCAGTCCCTTGATGGTCCACATTTCAAAAGTCCCGCAAAAAAAATGACGCATCTCGCCCATCTAGAGGCCGCAACCCACGCCCCGCAGAGCCAGAAAGGCTCAACAGAAGTCCAGCAGCTCAATAGTACCTGAGGCTCGCTGACCA